CTGAGAAAAATGAAAAACGATTTTCGGTTTTTTGTAAAAACGGCCTGTTTTTCGAATAGAGGGTGACGAAAATCTTCCAAAACTTTTGGAAAAGAAGAGATGCTGAATAAAAATTTTTATCGTATATGAAAGAGCAGATCACGGGCTATCTCCCTATGCATTTTTCTCAATTTCGATGATTCTGACGAAAATTGACTTTTTTGAGAGGGGGGGGGGCTTAATATCTAGTACATCCTATATTTCTCCTATATCTCGAAGATCTGCTATGTCTTCCGTGTCCTTAATTAATTGGGTTTCCGTGGAAACTCTCCAAAGAAATCAAACGGGTTCATGGAACTCCATTCGCCACACCCTCACCTGCGGCGATTGTGTGTATGTGTGTTTGTGTTAGTCGCTATCGATGGAACTCCTTTTGCATCATTATCACCTGCTACAATTATGTGTGTGCGTAAGGTTTAGACAATCATGATTCTTTAAAGTGTTTTTGGCTTGAAACTTGAAAGTGGAAAGTTGAAATTTCAAACTTGAAACTTACTGAAATCAAGTTTAAGTTTATACTTGAAAGCTCTGTTGAATTCAAGTTTGAAGTTTGACATACTGTTTGTCTTGCTGTTTTAACATGACTGCGAGCGAACTAAATAAATTCTAACTTATATAAAATTTATCTTTTGCTTTTTCGGCTACTTTAACATGCGTGCCTCAGAAATTCATAAATTATAAATTATATGAAAATTTATCTTTTACTTTTTTGTTAATTTAACATGAAACTCTTTTGCTTCATTCATTTTCGAAGTCATAACAATCATTTATATCTCCATTTATTTTGCAACTCGAGTTAGGAAACTCATGGCTCTACCTCCTATATCTATTATACCTCTTATAACTCCTATACTTCCTGTACCTCCTATACCTTTCTATATCTCCTATACCTATGTATCTTTATATCTTCTACCATAGGACATAGTTAAGTTCCTGCGGCTATTCCTAGCATACATCGTATGAAGATGGTTCACTCTTTTATCTAAGAAAAGTTATTCTCATGCTTTCCTAGAAAGAGAGAACTGGTAAACGTTTTACATAGATTTTAGCATTCAAAAATTTTACCTCCTTTACCCCTTCCCTTCTCAGAAATAAGGGGGTATTATTTTATAAAAATTTTAGCATTGAAAATTTTATCCCTAATAGTTTTTTCCTGTGTAGAAGTTTTTTTTGGATGCTATTAGCATCGACATCTTTCATTTACTGCCTTACTTCTGAAGTGTACTTAAATTATCTTAATTATCGAGTCTTTACGAAAAATCAACACCGAGAAATAGTAAATCTTGAATGAATAAAACAAGACTGTATTGTAACTACCAATGGTTAGCGTGTTTCGAAAAAATGTTCATTAAAATTCATGTATGTAAACAACTCCTCAAAGCATTCTTTATTGAATATGCCATTCAGTCAGAGCATAAAGAAGGCGGATATGAACCATAGAGTACTCATGAGAAAAAAATTGAACGATTGTGGGTTCTTTAACCTCTTGTAGAAATCATTACGATGACTGTACATTTTTCTTTGATTACTTCGCTTTACGTGAGATGAACAAGTTAAAATGATTCACTGGTGAATGAGACCAACATAGATGATCCACGATGAGAATTGATTGTCGAAGCTGATGAGAAGAGCAAACACGAGTAGATACCGCCGTTGAGTTGAAAAGCAGAGATGCAAAAATCTGAAATAAGTGTAATGTTTTATTGAATTGTATGACGAGAAGCGATTGAAAAATACCAAATATCTATGTGTAATTACTCGTCTTTTTTCTTACTTATCCATGTTAAGCTCTCAGCAAATACAGAAACACATTCAAAAAAGTGAAAAACTGTAGCTTGTTAACTAATATCGTGATAGCATGTACGAGTTGTTTTCTCTGACGAATCAAAATAAATGCATAATTTTATATGTCACTAGTGAGAAACAGACAATAAATACAATGATCGTAATCTGTTTTCGCTCGAGTATGTTATTTCTATCTTTGTATTCGTCAAATTAGACAGCACTATTTTTTAGGAATAATCACACATGTACTTCATTTTTTTTATTAGATGGTGGGTAATTTGCATTCTTTATTCTTAATTCGAAGTAGATGATAATGGCTTGCGATAAATTGCCGTATAAAAGCAGTTAACTCTAGCCAATTTGCATCATTGACCAGTCGGTCAACGTGTTGATAAGCATAGAACTCGTCGATATAGTACATCTCTTCTGGTGACACATAGTGGTATGTGTTTGGTTCCAAATCAGCATGAAAAACCTTTCGACCATCTTGATGTAAAGTTGTTATCGGTGAAAATGCCCAAAAACCAGTCACTTCTGTAACTTTGACGCCCAGTGTCCAAGCAAGACATGTCAATGCTACATCTGAACTTTCTGATCCTTTTGGCCAAACATTCTCAACGTAATTCGATAAATGAGGTTGCATCAATTCTAATAATTTGGCACTTAATAAGAATCCAGCACCACCTGATGGAAATGTCACAGGATGGATTTTTTCCGCTATCGTATTCAAACATTTCTCTCGGCCAGAATGGCCGCCGATGAGTAAAGGTTGAGTAGCATCAAATGGATCTAGTCGTTTGAGAACATGTTCTACATTAACGAATGTATCACAGCCGGCAATGTAGAACCATTTTTGCCTCTCCTGGATTGGCATTGCTAGTTGATGTTCGTAAATGATTTGTAATCCGTAAAAGATTTTTTTCACATTCGATAGTCTATTCTCTCCAGCACCTTCAATAACAGTTACCGGAAGATATGGATAGGGAGTACCGCCCAGAAAATAGAAATTAGAAACGCGAGATAACCATGTATCACGTGTTGCTGTTGCTCGTGTATGATAAAATTTCGCTCCTGTAAAGATAACAAAGACTACATCACGTTCAGAATATCGGCGCGCTTTTGTCCACTTGTGACGAGGTATTGGAACAATAGAACAATATGGAAGTAGATTTTTCACTCGATGTGAGGTAAAAGAATGGTTTACAGATGAGGTTGAATATGAAGTTATAGAGTTATCGCAAATAAAATTTGAGCTCACTGTTGATATTAATGGTTTTTTGTCAATGGCATAGGTGAACTGTGTCGCCATGTGGAAATTTGAACGACAATCACAAGTTATGACTTTGTTATATCCATAATATAAAGCCAAAATACCTACTGTAACAAAAAACGTAACAGTAATATGAACGTTGATCTTGGCAAAAAAGGATCTAGGCAGTTGAGGCACCATTTTAACTCGTTGGATGTCCATAACAAGAGAGTTTCAAGTCGTACCGCTTTTTCTTTCTAGAGTATATCAAAGGATAATCCACATTTGAAAGAAAGCTATAGTGAAACACGAACAAAAATGTATTCGTAGATATTTTTTTTTTAAATTTATTCTTACTGTGCCATTTTTCATTCGGTTCACAGATAAATCAATAACATAACACATACAGAGAACAGAATTACAAAGAATAGAAAATAAACAATCTTGGCGAGGC